TTTCAACTTTGAATTCTCAGCGAAATAGCTGCTGCGTTGCTGTGATAGACTCAGCACAAAGCTGTCGTAAGCAAACAAACGATGTTGTAATGTCCATTGCTTCATTGTGACTGTATTGGCAATTCAGTGGGGGGGGGGAAAGACACCTAACTCGTCCTCCTCCCATCACCACTTACCGTTTACTACCTGTTCTAAAAACTTCTGATTCCCGTCGGCCATCCTGTATAACAGGGAATTACACCACAATAACTTGTTCTAATGGGGTTGGACCAATGGTTGGTAAAGCAATAAGTATCTTTTATTATGTGTTTAATTTCAGTTGATTTATTCAGGTGTCTGTGACCTGGAGAGGGTCAGCAAAGGAAGTCTAATAGATTCACAACTGGATTAGCGTTCTTCAATCTGCATCTTGAAGAAAGGAAAAACAAAACAAAAAAAAAAGCTCCAGACATTTTTTTGGCACACTGTGTTCCCAATTCCAGGAATTTGTTCAGCCTTAAAGTGTATCTAAACTGAAGAGCAGCTTATTAGTCCTTCAATGTGGTGGCTGCATTTGTTTTCCTTTTTACGGCTTTTATGCTTTTCAATTTACTTGATGATCCTGCTAGTAACACACTTCCTGTTCTAGGGTGACAATGCTCAATAACTGTATTGTATCTCTGGAGGAGGAGCGTTGTCACTCTAGAACAGGAAGTGTTTTAGGAATACAGAATCAATGGAAGAAGGGTCATCAGAACTCCATGATAAAGAAATCAATGTCAATTTATTTACATAGAGCCACATAGGTCAAAGAAAGTCACAGTTTTGGGCCACGCAGGGTCCTTTCCTTAAGGCAACAAGCACCCTCCCTTGTTATTTTGGTCAGTACGCTGTATGGAGTGCGCTTTTGGATTGTATTATCTAACAATATTAGGAATACAGAACACCTTCCCCCCTTCTAATGTCTGTAACATGGCTGGGAGGTATTCTGTAGTCTACAGGGAAAGGATTTCAAAAGATATATACACATCAAAAATTTTACTTAAAATAATTTAGATATTTTTATACTATTAGTATATTTTTATATACTAATGGATCGTATGTTGTGTTACATTTCATTTACATATCAATAAACAGTTTTCTACACCATAAAATAAGCCACATATTTGTTATCACCTGAGCCTTAAAAGAGAACTGTGGGGTAACTTTTCTTTTCCCAAAGTGCTCTTTAGGTCATGGGAGGACATATACTAATGACCTCCCATGACCCAAAGTATATGGGCCGCTACATACCCAAAACTCAGTATATAGCGAGCTATTACCAGCTGTATGCTGTGAGTGCCGCAGCCGGGACGGATTCCGACAATACTGTTGAGATCCACCCCGCTGGCTGATTGACAGCCGGCACTGCCTCTCCAGTGTGCCCGCCTCCGTCTGTTCCTCCAGTCAATGCTTCAGGATCGGAGAGGGGGAAATCCCTGTGGGGAGCAGTGTCTGACAGACACCACTCTCTGCAGGGAGAGCATTGGGAAGTGAGCGAGCGGCTGTATGTTTTCTCTCACTTCCCGATCAATAGAGCCGACATGTGAGAGTTTAATGTCACACGTCAGCTCTAACTATGGGGATGAGATTCATCCCATAGTTCTCCTTTAAGTAGGATATACACACTTCAAATTTCAGCTGGTTTTTGATGAGCTGGACAAAATTCCCTGCATGGATGCCACTGTCGACACCCTTCCAGCCGCATCCCACGATCAACCTATTAAAGGAGCAGGTTGGAAATTCTTGGCCAGCAGCCAATCCAAAAAAACAGCACGGATTCATCCATCAATGCTCAAAAGCGTTGATGGAGGAATCTGTTCTAGTTTTTTTTCATTCAGCCTGCCAGCTGAACGAAAAACATATAACCGTGTATGTCCAGCTGTAGGGGCCACAACTTACATTTCCACTGCAGTACACTGTGCTTGCAGTGCCGATTAGTTTGACTGGTACCCAACGCACCAAGACAACACAACTCCAACACACATGCGTTTGAGTGTACCATAACATATTGTAACATGTTCTGGTGCGCTGCCATGCCAAAAATAAGGCCCATTTTTTTGACATTTCCTTGAGTCACCAGCCTTAATGCAAAGCACAATACCACTCATGTGCTTTAACCAGGATGCCAATCAATATGCAGTCTGGCATTTGTATAATTCTGCAATAGAATGCAAATGCAAAGTATATCAGATGATCTTCTCTTAAATGGTTGGACGTGTGTTTGCAGGCTGTTGCTTAGCAACCCATTGAAAGCCACAGTTATCTGTGATTTAGAGACAAATACAGTGTATATATATAGATCTATATCTATATATATATCTATATATATATATTGCCAATCAATATGCAGTCTGGCATTTTTATAATTCTGCAATAGAATGCAAATGCAAAGTATATCAGATGATCTTCTCTTAAATGGTTGGACGTGTGTTTGCAGGCTGTTGCTTAGCAACCCATTGAAAGCCACAGTTATCTGTGATTTAGAGACAAATACAGTGTATATATATAGATCTATATCTATATATATATCTATATATATATATATTTATAGATCTATATTTATAAATATAGATCTATATATATATATCTATATATCTTTTCTCTGCAATATTTTAGAAAGGCTTCTAATATTTATATAAAACCATTTGTCACAAGAAAAAGGATATATTGCACATATATTTATTTTTTATTTCTTCCTCAATGACACATTTTTATTTAATATTTTAGAAAGGCTGTATAGTAGGAAAACAATCTATAAAATACCTATTATGATAGACAGAACACTAAATCCACAGGAAGGCAAACAGCATCCTTATAAAGGATGGTCTAATTTTCTCCAATGGGAAAAGTAAAACATTTTCCTGATTTCCTAAGGCAATTGAATATTCCCTGGATCAGCAATTTGTGGTATTAATCGTGTGATTATCTTTTGCAAAATGTATACATTTATTGTACTGCTGTACAATACTAAATACGTCATATAGTCAGTCAAAGGGTTAGGTTACACACAAGCATTCCTGCACTTCTTGAATATTTTTCTGCATAACATTTTTTTTTTTTTTTTATACTTTTCATGCTCAGAACTTGAAAATGTTTTTTTTTTACTAAAATATGTTTCTTTTTTGTTCTCAATATGAATATTTTAATTTCAATTATCATTTTTAATTTCAATTTAATTTCAAATCATATTTTTGATTTCAATTGTTAGGTAAACAAAAGGAGCATTTAACAGCACTGATCAGTTTTCTTTCCCTTGATTTTTGTTTACAGATTTGATTATCTTTTGTAAAATATATACATTTATTCTATTGCCGTACAATAATAAATATGTCATATAGACAGTAAAAAAAGGTTAGGTTACACACAAGCATTTCTTAATTTTTTTTTGCATTAAAAGAAACATTTTTTAAAACTTTTTTCTATGCTCAGATTTTGATTTTTTTTTTTACAAAAATAGATGTATTTTTTTCCAATATGAATATTTTAATTTCAGTTATTATTTCAATATAATATGAATTGTTAGATATATGAAAGGCACATTTATCAGCATTGTTAGGTAAACAAAAGGAGGTAAACAAAATTGATCAATTTTCTTTCCTTTGATTTTTGCTAACAGATTTGATTTATTAAAAACAAAACAAAAGTGACTTATTCAGATTACATTAAAAAAAACAATACAATATTCATGCACACATGTCTAGCTTTAGAAAACTGTATTGAGTCGAAGTTTCTCTCGTCCTGTTTCCATACAATTGGCAATTTTGGAAACCTTACTTCAGCTACAGATGTGGCCCATATCAATCTACCAAATGCTGTTTCCATTGTTTCTGAGTGACCAAATGATCAACATTTGAGTGGCACAAGGTTGGAAGCACCAATGGCTGGAATTTTGGTGGCTTTGATAAATCTTTTACTACAATTTTGATTGTCTGGTTGCTTGAAACTGGAATTTATTTATTTTTAAATGCAAAAGGCAAATCGTGAAAGTTTGTATGCAAAGGTTACAAAATTGCTTTGTGAATATAATAATTCAATCATTTCTAATTCGTTTTGATGCATTTTTACTACAATTTTGCTCTTTTGGTTGCTTGAAACTGAAAAATATTGTAATAAAAAAAAGCAAGAGGCAAATCGCGAAAATTTGTACACTATATAAAGCTTACAAAATTGCTTTGTGAATATAATAATACAATAATCTTTAAATACATAATTATCTGTAGAATAAACATTTCACAAATAACATTTCTTCAACTCTTTTTTTGTTCCATAAACTGCTGTTTTTTTTATTATTAATTACAATCTTGTGGAGTTGATAAGATAAATAAGTAGATGCTGCTCACTGTATTCTCACTTTGCAAGGTGAATGGAAATAAATAAGATGTACCCGTCATCACCCGATGAACACTCTGCTATCTGGTTGATTTAATGTCTGTAGCTTTATCTTATTTACTAAGCTCAGTGAACATTCATTTTGCTAAGTGAACAGCTTCTATTCTATAGGAAAACTACCTCGTTGTGTCATCCATTTTATACACATCATGTGCGTACAGGTTATTTACACATGATGGCAAAAGAAAAGGCAGAAATGCACATATGATGATGCAAAATATTGTATGTGTTAAACATGCCAGCAGCATGGGGTAATAATTGAATCCCCTTCTTATATAATCCATACCCATGATGTCAGGTCTATTCCATCTGTGGATGTGCAGTGGTCTTGGTGCAATGCAGGTTTATAGTGATCATCATATTGTCTGTTTTTATATGAAATGTCACACTGCCATGACAGATGCACGTGGCACCTTTGGGGTTTGCGTCGCTCGTTATAAATCATATATAGATCCCGCCAGGAAGATGACTAACAGAGAGG